TGAACTGTGGTTGCCCATTTTTATACTGCACGGCTATTTGCTGATATACTGAGGTAAGGCACAACGCGGCCCGAGGTTGGATTGTTTTCATCTTCACCAAGTCCTCCTATTTTCAAATATGTGATAGGAAAATAATTACAAGAGCACTGCCACAATTCACTAATGCTCTTCCTATGTTAAAAGTCATTAATTAATTTGTATAATATAAACTAGTAGATTATTTTTGAGGAATCAACACGTTGACTAAGGTTATTAAATATTAGGCTTGGAGTATTAAAAATCCTAAAACCATGTACTGACAGAAAGAAGCATGATATGCATGCCCACTCAATTTTGCATGAATAAAATTTAACATTTGAATTCTATTGTCTTATAGATAAAAGCTTTCTACAAAATTATGGGGGACATAAAAAAATACCACCAGTAGCAGAAGTTGTTGTAAGGAGTGATAAAATACTTATTAGTTGAAATTGACTCGATTCAAGTCCTTGAACTAGATTCAGGGGTTAAAAGATATCTACTAGAAAAAAAAAAACTTGATTTCAGAGGAGGTAGGTTCTATAAGTAAATTGGAAATAAGATGATCTCTTCGAATTTAATGTCTTGCAAATAAAGGCCTTCTACAAAATTTTGCTGAATACAAGAAAATACTTGCTCCTGCAGAAATTGTTTTAAAGGGTGATATAATACTTAAAAATGTATCGAAGGTACCGTAAAGTAACAATATTGAACCGTTCTCTTACAGCTTCGCTACCGCTGATAAATGAAATGTTCTGCATCTGTCTATGTTAGCCACACTTCAAACAATACCACTACCTATATTCTATTACCTTATACCCTTAAAACACATATAACAAACTTCAATGCATATTATCTATCCTATCTACATTGTTGTGCTATCTCCAAAAGAAAAAAATTGAACCAATATTAATTTCATATTAATATAAACTGCAATTCCTATCCCAAGGACATACAAAACACCTCTTAAATCTTTAATCAAATGTATAAAGATTTGAATATTTATGGTTTTAAAAAAAAATTTCGGAAGATTTAATTGTGTGGTAACATAAAAATTTAAATTTTTTATAGTGACCTTAAATGAAGGATTTTAAATTATTAAATACCAATTTGATTAAATTCTTATTGGTCCGAATACTTATGTTACAAAAAAAAAATTACTTAATTAAATTTTTTTCAAACAGTCTATATCTATTTATAAAACACCAACTACTAAATAGAGGAGTTCTACCTCATTATTAAGAGTTATCTTCTAATTTAATAGTTAGTGTTTTATTGTTCAGTACATTTCAATCTATAAGACAATATTTTGTATCACTAATTGTAATTTCATTTATAGTGTTTGAGTTCAACTATTATATATTGAGTTTTTATAGCCAGTTGAACAAGAAGAATAGCATTGGAAAACAAGAAAAATATGAAAGAGCAATGAACGAAATAAGGAACATAAATAAGGAATACCGTGTAAATATGATGGCCTCCTGTGCCTGTTCTCGAGTTCTTCCAGCTTCAATAACCTGCACACACCACCACGGATCTATTGGTCCCAATGAAGGAATTTAGTTTTTTTTTTTAAATAAAATTTTGAATTTAAGTTTTATAAATGAAGAAATAAGTATTATGAGAGTTTTCTTTTATAAAATTTAATATGATTTAATTTTGAATTAATTGAGATTTAATATAATTTTTAGATACTTTAAAGTTTGTTAAAAAGTAAATAAATAAATAACCTGCACACACCAAATATTATTCTTGCTTTTATTACCATCATCCACCTTGTATCAGACTAAGGGCCTGTTTGGATCAGTTCCTATGAGTTTCAACTTTTGGATACTATTTATATCTTATGAATTTAAATTTTTCTCTTAAAAATTTACACTTTAAAATATTTTTTTAACCTTAAAAAGCTCTTAAACAATAAAAGTTCAAAAGTTTCAAATCTAAACTTTTTATAAACTCCCTTTTTACTTACTTTTCACTCACTTTTTCACCTTTCTAAAAGTTAAAACTTTATTTTTCCTCCAATAAAAATTTAAACTTATCATTTAAGAGTACTCAAAAAATAAAAATTCTCACAAATCACGTCAAACAGACTCTGAATTTGACAACTATTTCTCATCAACCGCAATGGTTTTTCCCAGTTGTTTGACCAGAGTTGGTACCCTACCTGGCCTACCATCACTGTTGATCAATCATACGTAATTGAGGTCAATGAAGCGTGTCCATAATATGTAAACCAAACAAATCAATTCGGCCCAAATATAACCAATCAGATTTAGGTTTAGCACATGTTCAAGAATTGAAATTAAATAGATAAAAATGAATTATATTATATGAAACTCCAAACTTGGGATTGTCACTTTATTATTAAGTTACATAAATTAATTTAGTCCATCTCTAACATTTATCAATTTATAGTATATGGAACCAGAAGTTATTGAATAAAGTCTCATCTTTATTTCAATTATAATCTTCAAATCAATTTTAATGATAACCTATAATTAATGATTATTAAGAACAACAATATGTACTTTACATATAATCAGGG